GTGATTTTTATCTTCCTAATTACAATTTCCTATGAAAAAATCTCCTATAAAACTAACTATAAACCTAACAAAAATTTAGATTTACCAGTTATTAGAGCTCTATTCTCCTATTCTCATACTAAATGTCAAGGTTTATGTAGGATTAATAGGTGCATCTCTACCACTCATTTTGCATTCATGAACATTTAATTAACACAACACAAAGAAAGGGTGAGTATAAACATATTCACAAAATACAATTTCATGGACATGACACTTTTAAATTTTTTTAGATTTCATGCATTAACTTGTAAAATTCATAACTAAATAAATGCAAGTCTAAAAAATATAAATCATTGGAGTTTTCTTTCTTTAAGTGTCTACTTTCATATAAAAGTGTAAGCATAATTTAGGCACTTATAGAGAGCAAAACGAAGCTGAGTTTCTTTCTGTTATTCACATATTACCCTTCTCAGTACCCAACATATTGAAAAATTTATAACTAATTTATTTTAATTCCAAAAATTATGAAATCAATGATGTTATTCTCTTGCTATAGATAATTGAATCAAATTGATATTTCTTTAATTTCTCAAAGTGTTACCTCAGTATATATAATTGAATTGCACAGGCATTGATCTAAGAAATTCAAAAATATAACAAACTATAACAATTAGATAAAGCTATTTGTAACAATTAGATAAATTTGTTTATAACAACTTCAATAACTAGATAAAGCTATATGTAACAACTTTATTTCAATCCTTAATTATAGGAACCAAATCAAGTTGTTTATTTGAATTAACCAATTGGTCTAACACGCCTTCACAAGATTAGGATTTTGTTAATGACACTAATCTTGTTTCTCAGATGTTGGTAACGTGCCTTTGATAAGGGTTTGGTTAAGTAATCAGCTAGTTGATCAGTAACACAAACATGATGAACCTTGAGTTTTCCATGTTTTACCAAGTCTCAAACAAAATGATTGTCAATTGAGATGTGTTTCATGTGACTATGGTAAATTGAGTTATGAATAAGATAAATAACACTCAAATTATCACAAAGAAGTAATGGAGATTTAGAAGTGGTAACACCTAATTCAATAAGGAGAGAATGAATCTAGAAGAGCTTTGTAGTTGAGTTAGCTAAAGATCTATATTCAACCTCTGTAGATGGTCAAGCAACGACGTGTTTCTTGGAGGACTTCTATGAAATTAAGTTAGATCCTTAAATATACAAGATGAGCAAAAGGGGAGGTAAAGTTATTTTTGTTGTTTGGCGAATCCGCATTGCTATATGCTAAGAGAGTAGAAGCTTGTGGTATTTAAATCATTATGCCATGAAAAATAGTAGATTTAAGATACCAAAGAAGATATTTAAGAGCATTCAAGTGAGTGGTAGTAGGTCTTTGCATGAATTGCGCCAATTTATTGACTGAAAAAGCAATATTTGGTCTAGTCATTGACAAGTATTCAAGGCTGTCATTGTAACCTGATAGAATGTGTTGTCAACAATAGATAAACCATTATCATTGCTAAGAGAATTACTTGTTGACATCAGAGTAAGAACAAACTTGATTTCATGCATTTTTGTTCTTTCTAGAAGATTTGTAATGTATTTATGTTGGCTTAAAAATAAACCAATAGGGGTTGGTACCATTTCAACACCAAGAAAATAATGCAAGTTCCCTAAGTCTTTGATGGAAAAGGAATGTACAAGAACTGCAATGCAGTCAATAATTTTATTGGAGGAGTTCCCTATAATTATTATGTTTCTACACACACAAGAATGCATAAAATTGCATCGTTATTTTTTAGAATAAAAAGAAAGGAATCATATTTTAAGTTAATAAATCCATAATTACATAAGAATTGACATAAGGTATGGAACTAAGTCCTTGGTGCTTGCTTGAGTCCATAGATTGATTTTCGTAGATGGTACACATGATGAGGCTTCTTTGGATGAATGAATCCTGGAAGTTGTTGCATGTTAACCTCTTCATGTAGTGCACTATGCAAAAAGACATTATTCACATCAAGTTGACGAATTTGCTAATCATTCTAAAATATCAAAGACAAGACCAATCTCACAGTCGTTACTTTAACAACAAGACTAAAAGTTTTACTATAGTCCAGTTCTAGTCATTGATGGAAATCTTTTACCACAAGTCTGGCCTTGTATCTATCAATATCACCATTGACTTTTCTTTTAATTTTGTAAACCCATTTACTTCCAACTAGATTTGTAGCTTGAGATCGTGGAAACAATTTCCAAGATCCTTGTTAAACCAAAACATCAAATTATTTACTCATGGCATCATGCCACCCACTAGACTTGAAGGTATGACTTAAACATGTCGATTCCACTAATGAAAGCATTGGGTGCTTGGTGACAAAAATATATTTTGCATTGGATTTGTGTATATTATTCATTACTCTTGGGATAAGTCGTAATCAAGGGGGCAATATAAAAAATTGAATTAAGTTATCTATAATATTTTTATATTATTCAATAACAAACTACAATAAATAGAGAAAGTTATCTATAATAACTTTATTTAGGTCCTTAATTATACAAACCAAAACAAGTTATTTATTTGAATTAACCAATTGGTCTATGTCTGTTTTCAAGTAAAAATTATAAAAATACATTATGAAATTAAAAAGAAATATATTTTCTTTTAAAAAATATTATATTTCAAATATTCAATAATTTTAACAAATTTCTAATATTAATAAAATCTCTTGAAAATGGAAGTATAATTTTTTTATAAAGAATAAAAAATCTGCTTAATAAAATAAATTAGCAGCATAAATATTAACTTTCAGTATAATAAATACTTAAAATATTCAGACGATGCCAAGGTACTCTCAGTGAAAATGGTTTATTAGAAAAATAAATCAAACATTTGAATTTAACAAAATTAGGATGAACAAGATCCTATTAAGAATGTGAACCAAGGGGATAATTTAAGAGCATTGATCATATAGTCAATTCTTACTAAACATGTACGTATATATTTATCAAAAATATCTTGATTGAAAATTAACTTATTTTTCTAATAACTTATTATGAGTATATTACCTTCCTATAACAAAAATATAATTCAACAACTTCAAATAGTAGTATCCATATTGTTATAAAATGTATTTGAATTAATTATAGTAAGAAGATACAATTAATCATTTATTAAATTAAATTCTTAAAGGAATATTTTGTATTCATGAATAAAAAATAAATAATTTGGTGAGTATAATTAATTTGCTATAATAAAGTCAATTATACTTAGATAATATTATAGTTGAAAGAATTATTTTAATATTTTTGCAATTATTGATTAAATAAATACTTACAATAATTTTAAAACACGTAAATAATTATTTCTTATTTGATAGATATTCATTTTCTTAAATATTGAGGATAAACATTTTCATTTTTTTATTATAAATTTATTTTTTAGATAAATATCATTCATTAAAAAAAAGATTTATAAACTTTTTTTTAAAAAAAATAATGTATTTAACACATTTATATATAAAGTGTAGAGAAAAGTGATATTTAAGTAAAATAATATTTATTATTTTATCTTTTCAGTAAATCAAACTTGTATTTATAGTTTCAAAAATCATGTTTTCTTTAGTTTGTAGGAATATAACTACTATTATTATCCTAACTTGAGTATATAAACGAGGATGTTACAAATGTTCTAACATCTAATGTGCAATGTGTTAGGATATCAAACTTGCCATGTCCCCGTTAATTTAAAATATTTTTATATATTAAGTGACTAAAATGAGAAAAAAGTTAATACACCGAATTAAAACAAAATAGAGTTAAGATATCAACTTACTAATTTAGCCTAATTTTAACAATTAATAAAGACATATAATGATCAAATTTTATTCCTTTTACTCTAAAAAAAACCATCTTATTAAATAAATGTATTTTTAAATAATTCAATAATTATTTTTTTAACTTTGTCTTGCTCAACGTTTTCGAAAAATGCATTAATACTATTTAATTTTTTTAAACGGATTGTAAAATCAGTCAACACACGTATTTAAACAAAATTCAAAATAGTATTAATATATTTTTTCTGGAAACGACGAGTAAGGCAAAGCCACAAAAAATAATGTTATTTTAAAATAAATATTAATAAAATTGTATTTTCTTCTTTCGATTTTTTGTTCATTATATTTCTCTCTCGTTCGTTCTTAGCTTTTCTCTCTTATCTTCTCTGTGCTCAGATCCTTATAAGTAGAGGACGGTTTGTGCTGCAATCTATAGCTCTAGGGTTTGGAGGAAACAGATTTCGAAGCTTCAAATTCTTGTCGTTATTCGTCAATTTGGAGCTTCGAATAGCAATTTATTTCCATCCTGAAGTTTCCTATTTGATCTGAAAGGATTTTTTGTCTCATGAATGTGGATATAGCTGTGATTTGAAAAGTCTTTCCCCTATTCCTTGATCTGTTTGCAACAAAACAAAGAAGGGAAAAAGAACGAAAGCGAAAAAGACAAAGAAACATGATGCAAAAGAATCAACTCAAGAGGGTTTATTCTTTCTCTAGTTCATGAATTGGTTATTTTATGATGAAGGATATGAAAAATTGGATATGCGGTGCCACAAAAAAAGAGGAGAATTTGCAATCTATAATGGTTAAAATAAAGCTTGCGTCCATTCTTTTCATAAAATCCTTTTTTTTGTAAATGGATGTCGGAATAGTATAAGAAACATGTTATATTTGACTATTTGTTGTCCTATTACGTGATTACATGTCAAGAATTCCATTTAATTTATATGTTTTGAAGAGTTATTTGCTCGTTTTTGGGCTTCAAAATTCAAATAAGCGTTCAAGTTAGTCATGATATCTCTAGAATTGGTCAAGGAGTTTTGAATATTTGATACATTTTTCTCTAGAATCGTTGAATTTGAGATAATATGAATTTTTATAGTTAATATCTTTCAGGACATTAAAGAGTTGGAGTCTTTCACTGAGTATGGGGATGGAAACAGATACAAGATCCGTGAGGTTATAGGGAAGGGTAGCTATGGAGTTGTATTTGAAGCAATTGACACACACACGGGGAAAAAGGTTGCAATAAAGAAGATTCATGATGCCTTTGAGCATATTTCTGATGCCATTAGAATCCTTCGTGAAGTCAAGTTGCTAAGGCTATTAAGACACCCTGATATTGTTGAGATTAAGAGGATCATGTTACCACCTTCAAAAGGGGAGTTTAAAGATATTTATGTGGTCTTTGAGCTCATGGAATCTGATCTCCACCAAGTGATCAAAGCTAATGATGACTTGACCCATGAACATCATCAGTTTTTTCTTTATCAGATGCTGCGAGCGTTGAAGTATATGCATACAGGTGTATAATTGTGTGCTTTTAACTCATTCATTCTTTTAATCCTATTTACATTCTTTCTACTCTTCATTATTTCAATAAAATATGTCACTAAACTATATTTGAATAAGCTTATGTTTGGTTGTAGCTAATGTGTATCACAGAGATCTTAAGCCCAGAAACATATTGGCAAACGCAAATTGCAAACTCAAAGTTTGTGATCTTGGATTGGCAAGAGTTTCATTCAATGATACCCCAACAACATTATTTTGGACAGTATGTAGATTCATTTAATTACTTGAAATGAAAATAGAGCATATAGAAGTTATGAGTATTATCTTTATTTTTTACGTTCAGTTAGCTGCAACCAAGGTTTGTCATCTCTTTCTTTTGGTGCATCTTGTAGGACTATGTGGCTACAAGATGGTACAGAGCCCCAGAATTGTGTGGATCATTTTTTTCTAAGGTATAGTTTGGCTAGAATATGTGTTTAGTAGATTATTTGTTCATAGAGGTTTTGAAACCTTCTGAAACCCTATCATGAATCAATTATTCCAAAAGCTTAAATTGTTAGATAAAGACACATGAATGATTTTATGCTGTTAACATTATATTTTATATGTTTCCCTTCCCATAAAACTAGATAGTATTATTTCTTTCTATAGTTTGAGATCGACTTTGAAAGACACAAAAGGACACAAAGATCTGGATTTATTTATTTGTTATAAAATGCCATTAGTAACTTTGAGTAGATAGTATTATTTCTTTCTATAGTTTGATATTTTGAAAGACACTAAAGAACACAAACATCTGGATTTAATTTATTTATTATAAAATGCCGTTAGCAACTTTGAGTGCATATACAAATAGGAATGGAATGATTTTGTGCCAAATCATGGTTCCACCCTTTTAATGGAGTTTAAAATAAACTGCATTTTAAAATTTGTTTATTGTTAAATAAATTAAAATTATAGAAGAATCCATATATATGTGTGTGTGTTTGAAAGGTGTTCGTGTGATATCTTTGAAAAGTACGAGGAATTGTAGCATCAGTAGAAATAGAATGGAATGCAATTTGTTATTATTTGTAATTTTAAATATTGTTGATATTTGGATTAGCTTTATTTGGAAAAAAAAATTGTTTCTTAAAGCACTATCAACTTGATGTTGATTATAAGCTATTTTGCAAGCTAATAGCTTAGGTGAAATAATATGTTTTTCCTTGACGACTATAAAATGTAACAATAAATTTTGAGTTTATAATAATTGTAAATTTTAATTTTAGAGAAATATAAGTATTTACTTCATTTATTTACAAGAAATAAATGAGACACGGCTAAGAGAGAAACCATGACGATCCAAGAATTTAAAATATTAGATGATAAAGCTAAATACAATATTATTAAGTTGATTATTATCTATTATACACATTAGAAAGTTAATTAAAGTAAAATTAAATTATTTTTGAAAAATTTAAAACTTGGCCATATAAATACACGGTGGAGGGAGAGCCAAATTTGTTCCCTAGTCTATCGGTGAGATATTTATTTAAGTAAGGGGAAAAAAAAAAAGCTAAACAATATGTGTATTAATTTTTATCACACATTTTTCTGGTAAAATTATTGGTCCATGAGAGTGTTCATTTATTCATGTGGTATATATTGACCGAGCAACACAGTCAATTTCGTTTTTCTTTCACCTAATTCAACAAAATTCTCTTATCTCCTCATGTTATTTAGAAGGTTTTTTATTCTCTTCCCTTTACCTGCAAAGCTCATACACTAAAACCCTCATCATCCCTTTCTCTTTGCCACTCTCCAAGGTTGACAATAGAGGCATTTGGAACCTCTTTCTTATGGTGTGTAGGCAAATTAAGATGAAAGAGGTAGGGAGAGAAGAATTATTGGTTAATGTTTTAGGTAACAAAGTTATAATTTTTTTAAATCATATGCATGTTAATGATATTAAAATACAAAAATTGTCAAATGGCTATGCAATTATCACATTTTAAAGTAAGTATATACACACATTTGGAATAGGAATTAATTGGTCTATGACATCGATGACAATGACAACTACGTCTCACTAAGTACATGTGCAAAGAAGCTATTAAAGTTCTTTGTCGTCACTATACTAATAGTCATATAGCAGTGAATATGACTACACACATTATAAGAAAAAATCTTAATAAGCATGATTCATTTGTTAGGTGCACCAATAAAAATTTAACTTATTTAGCATACTTGTTCTTATGTCATGTTAATATTTAGTTTACAATATGTAAATGTATTATTATGTATAGTTCAATTTTATTTTTTTTATATCTAAGGAGACATTTTCAAATAAATTTTTTATATTTATTTTACTAAGCATAGTCATGCATTTTGTAGTTTAATTGTATTAAGTGACTTTATAGATGTTGCTTTTGTTATATAAAAAGAACATATCTCATTTAGATTACTTATATTTTTTTTATATAATTTTGTATAAAATGACTTTTATGTGATTTACAGCAAACAACTTAGATTATAATAATTCATATTTAGGGATAACTATAAATTTCTTCGAGAAGTTAAATTATCTGTCCTACAAGTAATTGTGTTAGACAACTTGTCTATATGCATGAAGTGGTATGATTGGAATGTAATTGTCATTTAATATTCTAGTATTGTTGGCATTTTGTATGTAGTATACACCGGCAATTGATATATGGAGCATTGGATGCATTTTTGCTGAGTTGCTGCTAGGAAAGCCATTGTTTCCTGGCAAAACTGTTGTGCATCAATTAGATTTGATTACTAATCTTCTTGGGACACCATCAATTGAAACTATTACAGGAGTATGAACCACTCTTACTTTCTTCATTTGTTTTCTCTTTATCTTATTTATACGTGCTTGATAACGTTAATACTGTCATGAAAATCTATTTAAGGACTATTGCGCACTGACTTTCATTTAAATTTTGCAGGTTCAAAATAATAATGCAAGGAAGTACTTGATGAAAATGCAAAAGAAAAAACCTATGCCATTTGAACATAAATTTCCAAATGCTGATCCATTGGCACTTTGTCTTTTGCAAAGGCTTCTAGCATTCAATCCAAATGATAGGCCAACAGCAGAAGAGGTATCATGTTTTACGTTACATATTAATGCCTCATCTTGGTAATAATATAGTATTTGATTTTAGGACAATCTTTCCAACGTTGTTTGTTGTTCAATATATAAGAAAAAGAAACCTAAATGCTTGTTTGGTTGGCAGGCATTGGCTGATCCTTACTTTAAGGGCTTGGCAAAAGTTGAGAGAGAACCTTCATGTAAACCAATTTCAAAATTAGAATTTGAATTCGAGAGGAGACGAATGCAAAAGGAGGATGTTAAAGAATTAGTATATCGAGAAATATTGGAATATCATCCTCAATTGCTTAAAGATTATATAAATGGAACTGGAGGCACAAACTTTCGATATCCCAGGTCGAAAAATACTTTGGTTGAATATACTAGAATTTCTCAAGTATAATGTATGTTTCTATAAAATGCATATTATTTACGGATATATGCTCCTTGCAGTGAAATAGATCAATTCAGAAAGCAATCTTCTTATTTTGAGGAAAATCATGGTAAAAGTGGACCAATGATTCCTCCAGAAAGGAAGCATGTCTCTCTTCCAAGGTAATATTAAGAAACACCATGGAAGGATTTCCAAATGATATATATATATATATATTTAACTTCTAACTATGAATTTTGGTTCACATGTTCAATTTTGTTTGTCTTCTTTACCAAATATTTTTCCAATGGATATGTTAATATAATCACGTATTGTTTTTGTAGGTCTACTATTCATTCTAATACGATTCCTCCTAGCACCCAGTCGACCTTTGTTTTGCATGAGAATAGTTTGAGAGAAGAAAGATCAAATATTGGAACTCAATTAAGTGTTTTACAACCTCCACCACAGATGCTAGCAGGTATATATAAGTTTAAACTATAATATGTGCTTTCCTGTTCTTTCATAGAGGAGGGATTAGAACAATGAACAATGAAAATTACATAGAAGACTGCTAACAGCCCTCGTCCCTGTACAATTTTGTATTCACCTACCCTTTCTTTAAAGAGTTGTTATGTTTGGGAATGAAGTTTTTGATTAAAAGAAAGGGGAAGATAAAGTTTGTATTTTAAGTAAATATTTTTAAAATTCACGTTTATTTGAAATATAATATATAAATTATCATAAATAATTTTTAATATATTAACATAAATTTAATATATTAATTATATATATTTATTATCATAAATAATATATAATTTTTAATTTAAAATAAAAAACATATCCTCTCATCTTTTTTTTCTCTCAAAATTCTCTTCCAAACATATTAAAGAATCAAGAGGCTAGGCGACATAAGCCAAGCAAACAATGGTTGCATGATAGATTAGGAGAAAATGGCAGTTGGGCAGGTTAGGGCGGAGAGGTAGGGCGAAATTTCACTTTGACTGGTCTTGAAAATCCTAAATCTTTCCAATAATCAAATGGATCGATACATCCTGTTCTAATTTTGATCTAAAAGAATGAAACGACTTACTGTTAAGAAATATATACCTAAAAGCCAACTCCAAAACTTCATTGAAACCTCACAATGTAAAGTATTTACATTGATCAGTGAAAAGTGTAACATATTAGGAGAAAAGGCCATCCCATCCAAGTGTAAGAATATGTAGCACATAAACTATCTTACTAGATAGGGTTATAAAGAAAACTACCTACCTCGCTGTGCATTATTTTTTAGAAGTTTATGCATGTTTGAATCTCTAAGGATCATAATTTCCTTTTACTAGCATAGCCTATTGATATTATAAACTTGTAATTTATGTTATGGTGTTGCAACGTAATGTTTAATACAATACTACGTTGTTATATTTCTCATCAAAAACACTGTTAAACATGTTTTCTTTTCTTGCCACAGCTAAACCAGGGAGAGTTGTAGGGCCAATTTTTCACTATGAAGATGATCAGAGAAACATAAAAAATACAAATGATCCAAGGATTATTTACCAAAGTAATTCTCAAGCAATCTCTTCACAATATTTCTTTAGGGATCATACCCCAAACCCAAAGACTACATTAGATATACTCGAGGATTTTTCATACGTCAAGAACCGACTCCCATGCCAAAAATCCAACAGATCAACTAATGATTTCAACACGAACCTATACTATCGGCAAGGTGAGAACAATCATTTACATAAGCGTGTAACATCTTTTGATGCTAAACTACTGCAGGCACAATCATAACTTGATGTTGTTAGTGCTACAACAATAGTTGTTGCCACTCGCAATCACCATTTTTCAAGAGCTTTAAGTATGGATCGTCATAGGATGGTAGGTCATGTGAATGAAACTAGTACTCGAGCCCAGAATTGTAGGGAATGAGGCTTATTAACTTTTAGATGTGTTTAAGTTTTCTTTCTTTACTTTTAGATCACCATCCTTGTAATTATATGGACACCACTCAATTGATTAATAAAGAAAATTGATTGTTTCACTTTGTCTTCATTGAAGTATTATTTTTAAGTGTCACAATTGGAGTGATGACAGAGGGATGAAATATTGAAAGTAGAAGGGAAGAGAAATAGAGAAAAAGGTAGTTGTTACTAAAATTTTTATAAAATAATGAAAAACTTTATGAAATAGTTAGCTTAATCAAGATATAAATTTGAAAGGTATTAACATCTTATAATGTTTGTAAAAATATCATCCTAATTAATTATGGAAAGATAAAGTATTTATTTCAGTTACAAGAATTTGATATTTTTTGGTTAATTATTAAAATAAAGTATTTATTTAAACAGTTGAGTCTAAGCTTTGTAAAATATTAGCATATTTTGAAATAGAAGAAAAAAAAATATTAAAACAGTTGAGTCTAACAAGTTTTTATCCTTGCTTCTATATATTTTCAGTTGCAATGAGAAAATTAGTGTCTTGAAAGGAGCTTACAATAAGGAAGGAACCCTTTGAGGGTGTGCACGTTTAATATGAATGGGTGTTGAAATTAATCAGGCTCGACAACTTTTTATCCTCGCTCATGGTTTGCAATAAAGTTAGAGTACATAGTTCTTAAAGTAAAACTTTTATAAAAACATCACATACAATTGAAAATAAAACCTATCTTTATAAAAAAAAATTATGTAAACAAAATGAATTTAATTCCTTTTTGAAAAGTATTTAAAAATATAAAAATATTCTTTAAAAGTATTAAAACTATTTGAAGAAAAATAATTTTTATTTTTTTTTATTTTTTTCAAAATAGGACAGAAAAAATCTTCACATTATAAGTTTATAATTTGAAAATAATCAAGTAATTTATCAATCAAGATTATTAATTGTTATGTGAGTTAAAACATATGTACTTTGACTTTTAAAATAGAAAAATATAAGAAAATATTTAAATTTTAAAAATTAAATATAAAATAATTCACATACATAAGATACAAGACAGTATAGTTACATTTATATCCTTTTGGTTTTATAACTTGTAAATAATAACGTAATTTTGTACATTGTTACTATAAATCATTTTGTAAATAAAAAATTACAATATATTAAATATATGATTTATTTTGGATATAAAGTGTGTATGTATTGTTTATTTTATCTTGAATAGAAATAGAAATATTATTCACACATCTGATTATACATGCGCACGTGAATTTGTAAGATAAATTAGTTTCTTTTCATAAGAGAGCTAAAACATGATGCATTTAATTTGTTTATTTACTAATATTGTTAAATATCCCTGATTTAATTTTGGCTTTCTAAAGAATATCTATCTCTTTTTAAATTTAAAAAATGTTACTTTTCTATATTTTTTCTTTTAATTGACAATCTTTTAATTTTTGTCTAAAGTCAACTTTATTATTAGAATTATATGTAATTTATATTATATATATAACAAGTATCTTATAGAAGAAGTTCAAGCTTAGGCCCAAGTCTAAGCTTACAAAGAATTCCAAAATTCATTATAAGGGCATAGGAAGACTTATGACTATATATATATATTGCTTAAAGTTAAATATGACTCCTTAACTAGATTTTTTTGCTAAAAGGTTTAATTTTAAGTATTATTATGTTAAACTAGACAATCTCCTAAATTGAATTGTATAAAATAGTTTAGAAATTATTTAATTTATGATTGACATTTATGGAGTCAAAATATAATGAAAGTACTTTTTCTGCTAGGATTTTTTCTTGCAACTATTAATCTTATAAAAATTTTCCTATTCTTGTAGCAATCTTCTTATATTATCAAACATCACTGTTTGTAGTGTTATTCATATAATCTTTCCATCCTCTTATTCTATCTTTAAAGTGGTAATTCATTTTCCTTAATTTTGAAAATTAGTGTTGATAGTTTCTTAATCTAAAAATTCTAATTTTTTGTCTAAAATAATTCTTAATCATATCTCGCATCATATAATTCCATTGCTAGGTCCTAATTCAAGAGGTACAGTAAACTTCATCATTTGGTATTAAAGCTAGCCACTAAAGCTTGTTTGTGGATGTGATTTAAAGGTGAGAAAAGGTTAAATTGTTGACGATCTTGGAGGTTGAATGTGTTTGCACTTGGATGCATTTGTTGGAGTATTTGAGGACTTGAAAGTTATAAAGAAAAGAAGGCTTAACTCGGCATTACAATTTTTTCAAGTAGGTTAGGTGGCATGTTTTTGAATCATCTGCACAATAGATGTAAACAACTATAGCAAATGCGCCAAACATTTGATTAAGGATAAAAAAGTTATTGTTCTTACGAAGATTGAACCAATTAGTCAATATACGTCTTAAATATATGATTAAGCTTCAAAAGACATTAAAATTGTACATTAACCTAGCACAAATTATTTATAAGATATTTGCATCTAAAGGAAGTGATGTAAAAGGATTAATATGCAGAACTAATGCAATGAATACATAATTATGTCTATGATGCAACACAATACAAAACAATTACAAAACAACAAAAATAATATGTAAACAAATCATGTAGAGAAATTCTTCTAGATGTCACTTCATGCAAAATATATGTCTATTTTAGTGTTGACACAAGCATTGCATGATATTGATTGTATTGACCATATTAAAATTGTAACTCTTGTGTTTAGACACGTAGAACAACAATGAAATTCACTTTAAATTTGAGTATAAGACTAATATGTCTGTTGTAAATTACACTCTTATTTTATTCAAAAGAAGCATTAAGTACATAAATGATTTATACAATTTATCATGCAAAACTAAAACATAAACAACAAATCTAATCCATTTCTCTAGTCATCTTTGTATAATTTAAATCGCTGGTGTAGTAAAATATAATATTTCAACCTTCTACTGTAATTCCTAATTAGAAAAATATAATGTTTCAAAGAAATTTAACTAAGAGGAGCATGTACAATAAGAAATGTTAACAACTATAATGCAATTTCATCCTTATGTCTAGACGATGTAGAAAAAGAGAATACTTTACTCCAAATTTAAAAATTAAACCAATATAAGCTTCAAAATCATTCTGAGCATTGGGACGTTGAAATGCGCGGTGGAACAATTTTGAAACCTTTATTCTATATTTAGCAAGTGAAGGCAAACATTGCGACATTGAAAGCCAACATTGAAACACGTATTATTTACAGGCTACTTGAACTATGGGTGTTGGAATGCTGAAATACAGTATTGGAATGCCCAAACTGTATGTTGAGCTACAGGCTGATTTTATAGGAGGGACGTCTCACCCAACACAAAATACTTAACAAAAAGGATAGCATTTCTACAAAACCAATATTGCCATAAACGAAGAAGCGTTGGTAAAACTCACTGGTACAATTATTGAAGGTGATAAAAGTTATTCCTTCACATGCGAAATTCTTGAGAAGATATAGAAAAGATCAAGCTTTTGTACGATGACTCTAAGCCATTTAAGTATTTCAGCTCTAGGATGACGAAACGACTAGAATCCTTGTTGTCATTCTTTCCAAAATTGTCACCTCTCAAAGAAGTGCTAAGGACAACGTCTCAAACCTAAGAAAATTTTTCTCTGGCTGCCGTCTCATAACAAGAGAAGAATCAAAATTCCAGCATTCATCTTTTCCCACAGGAAGAGGGTGATTAAATTGCAAATCTTCTTTATAGGTAGTTTTATCACCAAGATTTTCACCAAAGATCGCGATCATTCTAAGATCGTGGGATCTCTCACCCTCCCTACAATCATGATCGTAAAGAAGGTCGGGAACCTGTTAGGATCGTGTCAGATCGTGATCTTTCTTCTTCAGATTGCAAGATCAACGATCCAATCCGATCTTCTTGTATAATTTTTTCAAGTTTGACTGGAGGTTTTCGGGTTGGGTTTTACGATCCATTTTTCAAAAACCCATTTCCTGGGCAATGATTTTTCGAGCTTTCCACACCTGAACCCTTATTCTTGTGTGACAACACTTCTTTAACCTAGGTCACAATTTTTCTTGGCGCTGCTACTTGCTGTTTGTCCGTTGTTCTACTGTGAATCGTTCTCTATTTTGCAACCCAAGTGCTATTCCTACACTCTTCTTGTCTGCGACCTAGTTGTTTCTACTCACTTCTCTTATGCAACTTGGGACCTTTGTTCATCTTCTGTTCTTGCTGCTCTTTTCTCTTCTACCATGGTATCCAATTTCGAAGATTGCTAGGTATGAGGTTGGTGGTAGTGAAAAGGATCTTACGATTTACAATCTTTTACCCATCTCTCCCGATAATAGGTAGGATCTTGACAACATTAATTTTCACTAATAAACTCATTTTAGTTAGGATTGCCGCTTGGAAAAAGAAAAGAGAACAAGTAATCATTCACAGGTTTGAGAGAAAAATTGACATTACCAATTGAAAAGTAATCATGGCATGTGAAAACTAAAAGTTCTGGAACAATGTCCAATTGACGTGTCAGCTTTTAGGATATTTGTAAAATTGATCCAGAAAAGCTTAAACGATGCTGAGATATACATGACATTCAAGAAAGTTAATACCCTAATTTGTCTACAAGGTACAACGCGAATGGGCACTACCACATCTTGGTGAGGCAGTGAAAGTCCGCAAGCATAACAAGGAGGACACTCAAGTAACCTGTTATTGCAAACCATACCTCAGGCACACCTACCATGGGAATCTCAACATCCTAATCTGGGCATATTCTTAAGGATCTTAACTAAGAAAGTTAATCACCATTTAAGAGATAAGATCACAAAATATTATGCTCCCACTTTCCTATTCATATCAAAGTGATAACTTCCTTTCATGAGAATCATAACTTTCTCAAACGATAAAAAAATAAAATCATACTCTATATAGAAGGGCCAATTATTTAGATAGGAACACACATTCTCTTTCATTCACAGACATGTGTAATTTTTTTTACTAACATAAGCATTAGAGTGTCTTTTGCATGTACTCTCATTTATGTTATTGTCAAGGAGTAAAATCATCAAGAATGATTAAGTTTTGGGCCCTCAAATCCATTTCAAAATTTAAGTAACAACATATATATATATATATATATATATATATATATATATATCAATTTATATGTTTCTTGAGTTTATAATTTAAAATGTTTTATATTGTAAATTTATTCTAAATAATAAAAGAAATATATAAGCTTTTTCAGTATATACATTTAGGTATTAAATTTAGTATTAACTACTTTTTTTTGTAATAATTGTTTTATAATTATTAAATATGAAATTAATAAATTTAAAAAGTATATTACATTTAATGAATATAATAAATATATTACATTAAATGAATGCAATATTTAATAGTAATGTATAAGTTAATTATATATTGTACATAATAAATATAGCATTTAATGTTTATGTATAGTCAATTCTACTTTTCCCGATATAGATTATATAATTAAAATTTAAAATGATATACTTAAATAATGGTGTAAAACAGTTTGAAGAAATTTTAGAACATTTAAATTTAAATAATTTTATAAAAGTTATTGCATATTAATTTTGTTATCATAATTTGAATCGGCTAACTTTTGGGAGTTTGAAACTATTTTTTTTTTTATATAATTTTGTTGTGGTTGTGTATAAGAGAAATTATTTTCAAGTTCTTGTACCAAAATTTGTGAAATTTCATGTACGTATTAAAAAGGGGAAATTAAAAAAAATAAATGATTAGGCGCCTATAAAGCATTACTTAAGAAATATTTACATTTCCTTTATCGTACAAGCATATTTTAATAAATACATAAAATATGTACATTAATTTTTCTGTATCAATATTAAATACGGAATATATACACATTAATATTGCATAAAAATACCTTACACTGCATTTTCGTTCCATAGTTTAGACTACTATATACAAATGATGTTTCATCAATGCATTAACCATGGCAGCGTATATTACTTGTCTTCCTCTGTCTCATCCTCTTTTCCTTCTTCCTCTTCCTCTTTGTCTTCTTCCTTCTCTGCCTCTTCAGTGGCTTTGGTAACTTCTTTAAGGATAAGCTTCAAGAGTCTCTCATACATTTCAATTGCAGATTCCAACATGTCAATGGCTCTTTTCTTGTCATGTACCACCACATCCATGACCTCTCCAAGCTCTGTGATTTGCTTCATAGTCTTAATCATCTCTTCATCACACAGCTCATAAGAAGTGAAGAACCCATTAGCTTGACCAATTGTAGCATTATTTCCCTTTCTAACTCCAAACTCACCACTGCCTCTAGCTACAATCATATCACTGATGTTTTCCATGCCATTCCCCAAAACCATTGTGACTTCTCCCCTCTCAACATCCCACATCCAAGCACTCCCATCTTCTGCAGCAGACACCAAATTCCTCCCTCCATTCACAGAAACCAAAGACACAATTGACCCATTATGGCTCCTAGGCCAATTTTTCAACTCATAGGCTCTACCAAGTAATTTTCTGCTCCCAACCTTCATTAATCCCTTATAAACCAACCCATCTGCACCAGCAGCATAGAACCATGACTCAGTTGAATTCAATGCAACCCCAAAAATGGCACAAGGGAATGCCACAGTGCACATGAGAACCCCATTATTTGCCAGATTCCAAAACTTACATGTGCAATCTAGTGAACAAGAAACCAATGTACCTAGTCCAGAGTTGTTGAAAGCAGTCACTGAATCAGAATGTGCCTTCCATTTGTGCAAAATCAAATCTTTTGCATCTGAACAAGAGGCCTCAACAACAAGCTTAAAAGTTGGGATCAAAGCAACGGTTCCATCATCACTACCTGAAATAACTAGCGACCCATCATCACTAAGATGAAGACTGGAAATTGCTCTTGGGTGTACAACAAATGATTTGATCACATCCCCAGAAGAAATTGAAAGAGAATGAACACTCCCTGATATGCCACCAGCAAAAAGAAATTCTCCTCCAGGGGTAGCAATGAGTGGAGCAACAGGTTCAGGGACAGGGAAGTTATGGAACACAGTCGAAGTATACCAATTATAGATGTTAATTGAGCCTGCACCTGTGTCTGAGGACACATGAGAGGCAGCAATTAGGCCTTGGCCTGCCATGGCGAGGCCGCGGCAAGGCGACCGGCTGCCGGAGAATCGGGCGACGGTGGCGCCGCTGGAGGGCTCATAGGCCGTGATGGGGCCATGAGGGGAGCTGGTGAGAATGATTTCATGTGAGGAAGAGGACATTTTCTGGACGGAATTGAGAGTGAGGAAACGTGAATTTGTATAACAATTGTACCTCCTAAGGCGATGAAAACAAGGTGATTGCAATTGATCCAAGGTGACTTCTCTTGTGATCATGCAACTTCTGCAGTTATCTTTTCATACCAACTTCTCTGGGCTTTGCTCTGTAAACGCACGTTTGTTCCTTTCGCTACCCAGAGAAGGGACCCATTTCCTTTATAAGTAAAGTCCTCTTAGGCATTTATTTATTTTTTAAAATTTTTCTAGAAAAATATAAATTTCACAAATCTAATTCTTAATTTATATGATATTAATTTTATGATATCCATGTTAACTTTTAAGATAAATTCAACACTTATTTGTATATAATTTTAATTGTTAATATTTATCTAACATTTTAAAAGGCATATTTTATATTAAAATAAAATCAATTTGTGAAATATAAATAATTTTAAATTATATACAATTTTATACACTTAATTTACCTAAAATAAATTTTGAATTCACAATTGAATAATAAAAGTATATTTATTCTATAAATAAAATCCTTTTATTTATGTACATATTTATACAAAGGGGTATATTTGTAATACACTTTTTGTTAAATTTATTAAAAAATTATAAAATTTTGTATGTCTTATCCCTATTTATTAATTTTTATTGATATTCTTCTTGGTAAATTTTAGTTAGTAAATAAAAATATTTTAGATAATACATATTTCTAATACATATATACATATACACGCACTTAAATAAATAAATTAAGTTTTATAATGATATATAAATAGTCAAAATTAAAATATTTAAGAAGTCGCATGATCATTAAAAAAATAATTTTTTTTAAAATTACGTTATTCATATATTTTAATCTTAATCTTAATCATTATATATATATATATATATATATATATATATATATATATATATAACAGAAATGCGTTAATATGCTAAATTTTATAAACATTTACATATTTTAATAATATTTATAAATTATAAAATAAAACATGTATAAAATTGTTATTAAGAAATTTTTATTTCCATAAATTTCAATAGTATATATTACGTTAATTTTTATACATAAAATATAGTATCAAATAATTTTAAATTTTACATATATAATTTATGTGGTTAATAATATTTATGTGTTTATTATAATTATTCTTAAAACTAATCTTAAAAAGTAATATTCATGTGTTTATTATAACTATTCTTATCTCTTGTGCTCATAAATAAATGTCACTTGTTAATCTCCTCTTTTAATTTTTAAATTTTTCTTATGTTGATTGATTTAATTTTTTTTAATTTAAAAGGTTTTGATTAGGAATGTGCCTCAAGTATTAAATACAGTCATTTCTCTCCTGAGAATTTAAACTGCAGTTTGTGACTTTGTAAGGAATTAGTTTCTTTCGTTGAATTCAATCCCGTTTATAAATAAAAAATAATATTAATATTAAATTTACTTTTTAAGATTAGTTTTAAGAATTCAATAGTTATAAATTGTATTAAAATTGAAAGTATTTATTATTCTTTCATATTTTTATGTAATAAATACTTTTTTCATATAAAATCTTATCACTTTTAGTTGGTTAAAATTAATTCTTAAAATTAAAGTTAACATTTTTATTAATATAAAAAATTATTAAATAATATTTTTTGAAAAAAATATTGTATATAGTTATATTATATTTTATTAAACAGTTTAACTTTAATACATTATCAATGTAAATATTTGTATAATGTCAACTAATGAAAATTCATCGTAGTATAATTTTTATATTAATTATTATAAAAATAAAAAAATTCTTACTAATATTGCAATTTATAATTGAGGAACATTATACTTGTATAGAAATTAAATTTTTTATTAAAATATATAAAAAATGAGTCCTTAATTTTATCATTCCATCATTCGAAATAAGCATTCCATCATTCGTAATCTTATTTCTCTCACGATATCAAAGAATCCCCCTTTATCATTGCATTAATCAGTCACTAAAAAGATAAGAATAAATACTTCTTCAAAGATTCAATTTTTTTTAGAGATTTATAGAACAGAGAACTGATAAAATTAAAATGTTATTAGAAATAAATAATTAAATGTCAATCAATTAAAATATGCATTTATTGATAATATAGTGAGAATATATATATATATATATATCAAACACTCAAAGGATTTAATTAAAATAATTTAATTTAATTTAATTTAATGCATCGTAAGTGTAAAATTTTTTATATTAATAAAAATATATTATTAATATATATTTTATATTAACTATTATATAAATGAATGACTTATATTAATTCACAATTAAATGACAGTGTAAAATATTTTACAGTATCAATATATATAACTTAAATTCAATTTTTTTCTTTTAAAAAATTCAAATTTTCTCTTAAATGACACAATATAAAACAGGAAATTTAATCTATATATGTACTTAGTACTGAAATTCTTGCACTGCAATTGCCACAAGACATTTTATTTACATCTTTATATTTTTAAAATTTCAAGTTATTACTTCATTTATTTTCCCTTTATTAGCTTTATTCATATCACGTTTTGAATTTCCATTTGCTAAATCTTTCTATTTTATAATTTTTAAAAGCATATAAACAGAAAATATATTAATTTTTTAAAATTATTAAAATTAAATATATATTTTATTACATATATGATCACCAAATATATACAAAACAAAATAGACAATACATTATGCTTCTAACTTTTCAAATTTTATATTTTATATTCTTTTTAAGAATTTGTAAAACAAGTAACCATTGAAATGTATTAATTATTAATAAATATTAAAAAATATATTTTATTATTTATATTAATCATTAATAGTAATTATTTATGATTAGAGAGAGAGAAATTTAGGTTTTTTTGGTTCTGAGAGTTAAAACATAGGAAGTCAGTCCAGATAGTGGTCCCAACAATAAGGCTTTATCTTTGGCAACAAGTGTTTGTCAGTTAGGATGGTCTCGTAATTTGTTGTGTTAATAAAAAAATCAATATAAAAAATATTGTCTATAGTTAGAAGTGTTAGGTCAATTTTAGGAAGTAATAAATAAAATATAGAAACAAGAACACAAAATAAAGAAATAGCAATTTCTCTGTCTAGACAAAATCTCTCAATAGAGAAAATAGAAAATTTATTACATAATTGATCTATATTAGAAGTAAAATCTTTAAAAATTTATAAATTAAGATCTCTTTGCAAATCAAAAATAAATGAACAAATACATGTACTACAATACTCACTATAGAAACAACAAATAATAATAAAAAAATCTAAATTTTAGGAAATGATTTATTAGAAAAACATGTATAAGAAAGATACCATTTTGGATTAATTTGAATAGTAGTTAAACCTATCTATAGGATGAGTTGATGTGCCTATTCTTATATTACTATAAGATATGAAGTTATACAAAATACAAGACTCAATAATAGCATCCTTAGAAAGTAATCTTCATAATGGTCTTGTCTTATTTAACTGTTATCCTAATTTTTTTAATGAACCTGGATAATGATAAAATAGCAGAAACTATAAGAATTTGTATAAAAATTCTTCAACAAATGTTGCAAATGAGTTTGCATATCCTTTTCACATAATTTATAGAGTATGTTATAAAGTCTCAGAAGTAAATTATAATTTTAAAGCTTTAAGATAAATAAAGAAAACTAAAACAGTAATGGTAGAAGCAAAAATAAAAAGAAGTCTAGTATAAACCCCTAAACCACTTAGTTAAGAAGAACTAAGTAAAAAGATTCTAAAAGAATGGGTTATGAAAAACAAAGTAGAAATACCTAAAGTACATAATACAAATATAAGAGAAATCATACAAGAATGATCAATTATTCATCTTAAGATGCATAGATCTAATTCTTTAAATCAAAACAAGTTCTTAATAATAAAAGAATTATCTAGAAATTTAGTAGATAACTCTACTATTAATTTAAGCTTAAGAGGATTATACAACAATAGTAGACTAGGAATTTGTAATGCCTAAATTTAATTTTCTAAATAAGTAAATTTCAAAAAAAATTAGAAATAATAAAAATTTTCATTCATATGGTTCCCAAAGCATGGTTCAATAAAATATTTCGAAATAGAGATTGATTACAACTTGTATCAATAATTGTTACAGGACTTAGTTAATACATCAAATTTTCAAAATAAATTCCTAGTCCTATAGCAGTTTCATCCATCTTCACTAAGTTCGGTGCTAATTGTCTTGATCATCTGAAAAATAAATATAAGGGTGAGTACTCTACACTATCCAACACATACAAACACAGAGATTCACCTTGCACACCCCACTTGTTTTCCCACATATTCCACTCAAATATAGTTAACCACAAGCAACACTTTTCAAACATTCCAATTCAATAACAACTGGTGCGCTCACTGCACCAATAACATTCACACACACACACAGAGACATGTGCTCACTGCACTTACCCATGCTCACTATGACATTGTGACCACAATTTCACACCATGGATGATCGTCAGTTATCCCTGCCTCCGGATACTACGTGGATGGTCACGAGTTACTTGCCAAAGGTGTTGGTCAGAGGTCTAGTCAGGAGGAGAGTGTGTGGCCTGTGGTATACTCACGCTTACTGTTGGTGTCACCATCACTCTCTCTTCCCCAATGTATTTCCATCGTTCTCATCTTCCACACCTCCAATGTATCACTGAACCATTCATAACATATTCACAACCTCATTTAACATGCTCTTTCACACACATTTCAGCCACATACAGTATTCATTAACAGCACATAGGCCCACATTCATTCACAGTACTTGGCATAGATGCCCACTTTTATTTGCATTACATTTAACGCATAGCTATTTTACACACAACATTTCAACATAATCTAAATTCATCAATTTATTCCATCATACACACTATTCAACATTCATTACACTATACTCTATTCAATCTTTCCACCATAATGTCATCACAATCAATCAATTCTACCAAACAC